CTCGTCTTGCAACCTCGGCATAGTAAGTTGTTTAGTTATTGTACCTATCGCAGCTCTCGCAGCGATCGGTGATATGAAGCTTTTTATTGAAACGGCCTGAAGCTTCGGCTGAATCGCTGTCTTCATAGCTCAATTCCACCGTTTGTGCGGGTAAATGCGCTACCACACTTCAGCACTGATTAGGAATGTATAATTGAGTGAATGGCGAAAAAAAAAACGAAGTGCTCATTATAAGTAATTGTAAGCATGTTGCGAAGGGGTCGGGACAAACTCAGGTTAGGTGATGTGGGCAATTTTTGGGAGTAAAGCTAAGGATGTTCGGATGAATGTATAAATTTTTTTCTTTCGATCACCTATTTTAAAGTCTTGATGGAATTTAAAAGCGATCAAATTTCATATTAAGCCCCACCAAGGCTAACAACCCGTTCAGTAATAAAACAATGGATCGAGCCTCTCTCAGCTGATCATACATACTTCCCACATCCCCAGGAACGATCAGGTGCAGAGTTCTCAAGGCATAAAACGTTGAGTGTGCATCGGCTCAGTTTAGTATTTATGGAAGCACAATCGCCATTGTTGTATCTATAAATCTCGGTCGAATGCACGGCGCAATCACGAGGAGTAGATAAACTCCAAATGCTTCATCCTTCCATTGCGCATAATAACGCTTTTTTTTCCTTCACGAAATCTGTTCTCATCTTGTGACCGACGTTCCACTTTCCTTGAAGTTCAATTTTCAGATCACTGCCCTGCACAAGAAGAAGCCAGTTAGTGCTCGTGAACTGATTGAGGCCCTGCACAGAGATGCCGATTTGGCCCGAAGGCGAACAAAACGCAACACCCTGAATCCTTTGCATCGGTTCGTCTTTGGCATTTTTTTTACCAGTCTTTTTTTTTCGATGAGACGAGCATTCTTTGGAAAAGTGAGTAAATTTGGAAGTCAACAGATGTCCTTCTGCTTTCTAGCGGCCTGGTAACAAAACGTTCAATAATCCATGGAGTCAGACGCTGACTGTATCTGTATCTTTCCTCTTCATATATGTGCATATTTCCTCCCATTCATAGCTCACGCCTGTGACCGCTGCCAGAGTAGCGAAAAATGCTTCTTCATACAACAAAAACAGGAACAAGCGTCAGGATCAAAAATACATCTACCATGGCATACTCTATGCTTATGCTTGCTTGTACTATACTTGTACTCTTCTCAAGTTGTCCAAGTAAGCCAACGATCACACTCCAGGAAGATGCGTCGTAAATGTGTCTACCGGCCTTTTTTCAGTAGGGTGGCCGTGTTTTCTTTAATTGTGCTCTCTCCTTATTTTTTCTTGCTGTGACTGCGTAGTTTTTCAAGCAGCAAAATAGGACACAGCATTTCGCCATTAATCATATTTCCTTTCGGAATGGGGGGGGGGTTGGTTGGGGGATTCTATAAGATTGGGTTGGTATCACAGTTGATGTGAGGGTGCCAAATAAGGCGCCGGTTGCGAAAAACAAAAACGGAAAATCCGTCAATAACACGCCTACGGACTTGACAGCCGCACTCGATAGAAGACGCGTGGATAAGTTGCTTCCAGCATGCTTGCGGATATGACACTACAGTAAGCTTGCGAGCACCTCTTTCTCCTCACGACAATTTTGTTGGAGAAAGCGCATCCCACCTTGGGACACAGAAAGCAATGGAAAACCTTTGGAGTCTTCTGCAGCGAAAATCGCGCTCCACTTTCTCGCCTGAGAGAACTGCTGCTCCATTAAGTGCTGACACCTACTTATTAATTACGTCCATGCTCAGCGTGACCCCAACATCTATCTTCGAACCACACTTGGCAGTGGTAACGATTTTTTGGCCATCCATTTCTTGCCCTGAATTTAGTGATCAAATGGTGAATGTGGTGAGGGTGATTAGTGATCGCTTTGATGACTTTGTTCATGTTTTCAATTCGGTGATTCGGTGGGCAAGATTGTATGAGACCGCGTTAGGGACGCTTTCAAATTTCGCTGCTGATGCTTTCTGATTCTTGCATCACCAGTTACTTACTGAACTCTCGAAAACTCTGTGCCACTTTTCAGATACCTCAATCTTGTGCTGGATCTCCCAAATTTGCCGTGCCTCATAGATGCTGACGGCTTAGTGATTAGCTTAGCGCCAGTTACCAACAGTGATTTGACCAAGGTAACTTGTATAACTGCCAGTGTCCTTTTGCTATTGCTTAATTTCCTCTTCATATTATTCGTTGTAGATGTCTGAAGAGACACATTCTTGTGCGTAGAAAGTTCGTTCTCGCCGCACATCAATGCGTTCTGCAAAGAGAGGTACACGTTTTTGTTGTTTCTCACTGAAAATAATCATGGTTTACGTGGATAACCGTAGTATATTGTATTATCATATGCTTACAGCTCGGAGCTAGCTTACTTCTATACCTTGAGAATTTGCACTCAATTGCTCGTGTAAAACACAGCAACAACCCGAGACCAAATAGGTCGGGTAACGGCAGTCGAAAATAAAATTGTAGACACCGAGATGACTGGAAGTGGGGAAAAAGGGCACTGTGTAAACCACTGATTAACCCCTTGGAAAACGGCCACGTCGTGTTGTCCGTATCATAGGAGTGCACAAGGTATCTCGTCGTCCATATAGCTCATATTAAGCGTAACTACTCACTTGTACCGCCCTAGCACCATTGTCGCGCACTTGATTCTCTATATCTATTTTACGCGCAGACTGTGATATTCTCAGCCGTTCGGTCACGCACTGGATATAATCATTGCTTCCGAGCACGACTTCATCTGAATAAGTGTTTTGGAGGCATCATACGCGGAAACACGGATCCAGCATTCGTGGCTATGGCGGGGCGCTACAGCAAACTGTGTGTCATTGACCGGTCAAGGTCATGGTAACTTTCATATTCGAACTTTTTCACAAGCCAAAAAACTGTCAACTCGTCGCATGCATCCCCCCCCCCCTTCCCACCTCTCGTCTGAACTGATGTTATTCCCCTGGTTCACGGATTCTTACTGCCTACTCTGCCACGCCCAGCGGCGGCGACGCTCCCCTCCATTCCTCCAACAATCTTAGCAAATTCGGTACTCCAAGTTTTCTACATATTTCACAACGACAGCCAAACAAAAAACTAACGTTCACTTCGATAAAAAAATCAGATTTACCACGAAGATTTCAAACGATTTGAATTTTGCCGAAAAAAATGTTGATGGTGGAAAATAGCACGCATTGAACGAGGAAACATTAGAGTTCCATGCCAAGTTTTCTCAAAACCTCACACCTTACCGTATTCATGACATTCTTCATTTTGACCCTATTTTTGCCCGCCCTTTCTACCAGCGGCTGTCCAGGAGATGATCTTTTCCAAGAGTTGTTCACAATTCCATTTTTGTGCCTGTTGAAGTTTGCAAATGGTCTACTATGCTTGCGCAACACACTTATACGGAGATGGAATAAATAAGTTTTTCGTGTGGGATCCTCTAGGCAGCTAACTGCATATTAGCCGAAGGTAGACTGAATCTTATCGTTAGAACCTACAGTACAGTTTTCCAAAAACTTTGATGGAGGAGTGTGATAATTCCGTGGTTCATTCCGATCAGGTATCTTTGTGAAAAGAATCGTCAGTTAGTGAAAGGCGGGTGTCTGGCATCAGTACTGTGTAAAAAATAAATTTTGCATTTTAGAGGGTATGAAAGACTTCTTCCCTCATTTTTGATAGTATTGTCCTACATTAGGGCGGAAGTGGTGTAGTGGCAAGTGGCACGCTTACCACGCGAGCGGTCCGGGGATCAAATCCTGGGTCGTGAGTCGCCCGGGCCAACCAAGCCTTCCATCCCTCCGGGGTCGGTTAATTGGTACCAGACTTGTCTGGGAGGATAAAAACACTGACTTGTACATCGGCTGGCCCCCGCAAGTCATTGTATAGGCCACATCGCATTCAAACGCCACTACGAATGTACAAATGGAAGTAGAATGCGTGCCGCATCCCAAAAAGGGATTGATCAACGGCAAATGCTTTATCCTTTATCCTTTATTTATTCGTATCACAGAAATAATAAACATGACAGTTGAATCATCCAGCTTTAAGTAAGCAAGTTCGTCATAAAGCTGCAAGAATGTATGCTGAAAACTAGGAACTCCGCGAGGAATCATCTGAATGGTGTGGAATGTTCGTCATTATTCCCTATTTCCAGGTCCTCGAACAACTGGTTGCCGAGAGTTTACAGATTTGCTCAAATGCGTGGACAAGTAGGCATTTATGATTTGTGACCCCAGATAGTCCGGGTTGGTCACTCTGCCTTTGGGACATGGGGCGTTCCGATTACTGTGCTGCATTCAATTAGTTCAGCCATAAGAGCGAAATCCGCAGGGGTCTTTGTAGCGACAAATCCATTTGAAATTGGTTCCTGGCTTCTCATCACCACGGGAGGTATGGCCCTACCCCTTCCAGTACCTCGCTTAAAGCCTTAAACCTAAAATGGAGACTTGAATTGCTTAGTATTCAATTTCTCAGGCGGCTAAACATCACCCTGCTATTTGAGTGCGAAAACGGGCTTCACATGTCTGAGTGGTTCATTGTTAGAACGTGAATTGGTGGGGCGGTGCAGCCCGTATTTCGGTATAGAGCAGGGGAAATCGCGCGGCAGAACGGGAAAAGGGTTGTGTCTTTGCGTTGCTGTAATAGAGTGTGGTGTGTCTGTTGGTCGAATCGATGAAGAGACACACGGCCGATTGACAGGGCACAGACGAGCACACACACGCACACACACAGCGCATACACACGTGGACAAGTGATCAATACAAAGACAGACGCGACAGCACATCGGGCACCACCGGCGAACTAACGCGTGTGCTGTGCGCGTTCCCAGTAGATCTTTCATCTACGTTCTCTTGCCGTTCCACTGCAGAACTGCATGATTTGAGATCTTGTATGTTAACTTGATCTGGAAGGGTGTGAATATCGTGACGAAACGGTATTGACTTTGGACTAAAGGGCTTTGAAACCGACATGGGAAGGTCGAAGTACTTTTTGAAGATCCAGACCAGCCACCATCTGTCTAACCTCTGCTTACCTTTCCTTTATGATATTTCTCGAACATTCCTGATTTTGAATTGATTTCCTGACTAGTGTTTGAGTTTGGGATGAGATTTGCTGCTGCTCCATCTGGTTTTTAGAATTGAGTTTGGGGCATCTGAGCTCTTCGAAACAGGGTTATTTACCGGCTGTAGAAGTGCCGCCTCGAGTTCTCCTTTTGTCATAGAAATTTTCGAACTCGAAAAAAGAACATCGGATTTCTATAAAACCGATGTGACACAAATCCATTTGACCTTCCTGGGTGAGAGCTTTCAATTGGGCCTAAATAGGGGACTGGTTCTGCACATAGCGTAACTAGCCACAACTTCCACCGAGTTGCAGTTTTTAGCTTATAAACCACTACAGGTCGCGTTCCTGTGGATCATTTTGTATCGTGCCATACCGTAGCTAAGTCGGCTACTATACCCTCATCGGTTTAGGAGGAAGCTCTGGGGACTTTGAAGTAGGGGTGGGAAAGTCCCTACAACAGCCCGATCAGGAGACTTTCATTCTTTTATGGTCGCCCTGTAATGTAACAAGGTGACCGAAGGGGGGTATGTCTTTTTCGCTTGCTAATATAGCGGCAGTTGGGTTAAGGAACCAAGCACTTACTTCTATACATCTTGAAGTGTTGATTGACAACCTCTCTGCAGTAGTCGGTGTACAAAGGACGACGATATGTTGTCGGTTTTTCCGGACACGAACGATTTTATCCTCAGTAGTGACGTCGTGAATACTTTCAAGCTACTGAAAATATTGCTTGAAAATCGTCGCTCCTTCTTCTTCTCGTATTTTTGTGTCACGGCCATGTTCATGAGCATAAATTTAGCGTTGAATTTGTTTGGTGCTACCTGGTTTCGCTGATGATTGTGTCCTATTTCTGACTGCTTGCTGATTTTTCAATTTTCTATTTCGTCATTATTGTTTTCTTGTCATCGTCTGTCTGGTAGGGTTTCGCTAATTTTGATACTTTTGACTTTTGGCCACTTATGCTGAGGTCAGCCTTGCGCCCCATATGGGTTGCTGCTGAGATCGAGGTCATCGCAAGAACGCTACACTCGGCTACAGAGCAACCCATGCAAAGCCTCATCTTTTGGAGGTTGAGCGCCTTGTTGAGAGACCAAATACATTGCGACCTCATGGCGTGCTCATTTCTAACTTAAACCATATTTATTATTTTTCAAGGCTTTTTTGTTTTTCGAAACTTTCTTCCGTGGTTTTTGGCGAGTCGTTGTTGCACGTTATTGTTTGTATTATTGTTGACATAAAAACTTGACACTTATTTCAATAATTCTGCGAACAAAATGAGATCTTTCTTCTCACGGTGTTTCATACTTCTCCAATTGTTCCAGTACAGCAGAAGAAGTTTTCGAGAATGTTTTCTCCGATGACGTTTCAGTGGCCGTTATTGACGACTGAAATATGTGTATTAGTTAGCAAGAGAGAACTCAGTTGCATTGCGGGATGTGGAAGGCCCCATAAATCGTGGCTAGAAATTGTCGAAAGAAATTCAGTTTGAAGAATAAGTTGCGCGCCTATGCTATGAACTTGTGGAGGGTGGGGTGTGGCTATGAGAAGAGACGTTGTCAACTTCATGTTGGTACTCTGGCCCAAGCCGATTATTCCTTTTGTTCATTCGGGGTCATTAATCTGGTATTATAGGTGTCGAATTTGGCATACTTGAGCTGGCTGTCCACACTGGCTACCAGCCACGGCACGGAAGTGGTGTATTGGCAAGTGGCGCTGCTAACCATACGCGCGGTCCAAAAATCCAGTTCGAGGTCGTACTTCGTTCGGGCCAATTAAGCTTTTCATTCCTTCAGATCGGTTGATTGGTTTTGGTCTTGTCTAGCCGGGTAAGAACGTTGTTCATCGGTTGAACCTTCAAATCACGGTACAGGTTGAATCCTACTCAAAATGTCACTGCGATTCTGAATGGAAGTGAAGTGCGTGTCGCATCCCGAACAGTAGCAATCGACGCCAATTGCCTCATCCTTTATCCTTTATTTATGCTGAAAACATACGTGCTTCAACATGACGACTCTATTAAAGTGACACTGCTTAGGATGTTTTTGAGCACATCAGACACATTGTCCTCTACTTTTTAAGTAAGGATGAAAGTAGGATATACAGCTTTTTCATCCACATCGACACTTCCTGCATTCTCACTCTCTGTCTTGCCGAGTCAGCAGGAA